ATTGTTTCATATCTACATATTTGTAGATATGTTCGGAATAATAGTGCAACTTCCACTCACGGTCTCTGCTTTCTAAACCACTATGATGTAACTACGGATATAAATAAGGTGTCATTTGACGTTTCTTGTACATGAATGTTTGAGCAGTTATATAACAGTCTTCCTGCTCTGATAGTTTAGTTCACGTTTGTACAGGAAACTCCAAATCTTGCATTAATTGCATCAATAATATATGATACGGCTTTTAAGCTGCTATGGGGATACATGTGTCTTAAATCTGTAGCATTCTGAAGAACGTATGATACCCCGATACCCCTCCTGTGTATATGGATCTGAGAGCTGTACTGAACACTTACGGACAAACCCCAACCCCAACCACCACACACACACACACACACACACACACAGAGAGAGAGAGAGAGAGAGAGAGAGAGAGAGAGAGAGAGAGAGAGAGAGAGAGAGAGAGAGAGAGAGAGAGAGAGAGAGAGAGAGAGAGAGAGAGAGAGAGAGAGAGAGAGAGAGAGAGAGAGTTCTGATTCCAGATACAGACCCTTCCCGCCTTCTTTCTGGGACCCGTGAAGATCCGGGTGGTCAGGCTCGCTGACTTGGTTGACACATGTCATAGTATCCCAATTGTGTATATCGATCCTCATGCCATTGACCACTGGATTGTCAGGTGCAGACTTGATTATTTACAGACCGTCTCTGTGTACCTGGAATATTGCTGAGTGTGGTGTAAAACTCACGATTTCTTTCTGTGAGGTGAAAGTGATATATCTGATATACACCCTCTATGCCGCTCTGTGTGGATTATATATATAGGGAGGAGAGGGGAGAGGTGTATAATGGTTATATATTTTTCCAGTGTGGTTTCCACATTTTGCTAGCCAGTCGGGCTAGCTATGCCTGAAAATGTATAGTCTACAAAATAATTCACTATCCCGAAATTTGAATGTAGAAACTAAGCAAAAGATAGACGGGAATAATATGTTGTCGGCATGACACGGGTTTCACCATTAAGCTGCTAATATCGTGAACATTTTATTAGGCCATAATCTTGCATGATCTAAAAGTGTATTATAACTTAACAAGTCGGAGAGAGGTATATTTATGACCCTTGAAAATTCACTTTTTTTTGTAGTGACTGTGAAGATTTACTGGCCCGACTGGATTTTTGGTAGCCACGGGCTAGCGGGCCAGTGGCTATTTAACGGTGTGGTTCTGGGAAGGCTAAAATTTATTTTTCAGATGTCCCGGGGAAGGCTAAAATGTATATTTCGGATTTCCCGGGAGAGCTAATTTCCACGGTGTAGGGGAGTACCGCCAAAGCTAAAGATACGGTGCCGGGAAGCATAATCCATGTCGGAATAAATAGATTTCTTATCAAAACAATTCGTTAATTACCGTTATCTGTACTCTGTACTGTATAATAATATTTTTATAAATTGCACTTTTCGATGAGTTGCACAGATCACTAAAGATAAACTCAATAGCCTGATCATTTTTTCTTTGTTTTATAACTATTAGATAATCTAGTGGTAATTCCTGCCTTAACCATATTCAGTTAATCCAATGTTCGCCAAAATACCTTTAACCTGATACGCCCATTTTCTTACACCACAGGTCTCCGCCTCCTCATACAAATACTCACAACAACCCTGTAAAATGCTATTTTCAGACACAAGAAGCGTACACCAATATTTAATCATGCTATATTGCCTTTTACATATGAGCGGATAACGACCTAACTCGGCATAAACCATGGAATTACATGCTTACTTCTTAACTCCTGAAAACCTTTTGCAAAAATCCAAATGCAACCTTTCAAAATTTAAGCCTTTATTATATCCCCCATATCTCAGACGCATAAGATAGTATACTACCAACATAACGATCAAAGACAAATAAAATACATTCCAGGTTGAGAGAGAGCGACCTGATATTATTGCAAATTGAAAAGGGGGGCCATCCTACCCTGGTCAGACAACTGCAGCTGTGCCTTTGAGAATCGGTTATTATAATTAAAACCTATTCCTAAATGTAAAGGTATCGACAACCTCTAGGACACAACCATTATATATAACCAACGTTCTGACTATTTAACTTTACCAACTCTTCCGAAGACCATTATCTTTGTTTTAGCAATATTTACTTCAAGTTCCCACCGTGTGGAATAAGCTGACAACGATTTCCACTGTGTTTGCAACCTTTCAACAGATTCAGAAAAATAACAAGATCTTCAGCATACATAAGCAGAAACATATTTAAAGATTTAAACTCGTGAGGTATACATTTATCTTTTAGGAAAGACTCCTCAAAATGAACTATCTAATGTCGAATTAAAGAAAATGTGTAATGGAGAATAGACGTGAAAATGTGTACATAACTTTATTTATATTTTTATATGTGTTCAAATTAAAGAGCGTCCCTGTTAATCCTATTTTCTCTGTACTTTTATCAGAGCCTCCGAGTGAGGCGCGCTGTGTTCATTCAGCCATAACATTGTATTGCAAGTACCGCAAAGGCTACACTCATTGAACCGAAAAGCGTGACGATTTTAGCCTTATATATAACACCTCTCCTGTCTTTCATTCTGTGTGGAGTTCTGTGTGATGTTCATCCATCCTAGTATTTTGTTCTCAAAACTTTATTTCATGTAATTTGTTTGGTCTCAACCCTGAGCCGCATTCAGTTGAACGACGCAAGTCATTTAGAAAATAGACACAGGTATAAGTGCAGCAAATTGGTTGACAAACACCCGAATATGGAAAAAAATATTCATACCTAATTACAATCAAAATTATTTCAGAAACACAAATTAGTGTTTGAAATATTTTAAATAATGTATACGATTCTGTGGTATTATTGTGACCACAAAGTGATGAAGAAACAGAATTCATTTCAGATAATCCTTTTCAAACAGGATGACATTTTGTTTCCATTTTAAAATAACACAATTAATCGTCCCATATATGCAAATGAATAATACGGTTGACAAGTATAAAATAATTAAGAAAACCAAAGATTTTTTTCCAAATTATAGTGGAGAAACAATTAGGGTTACATATTCGAAAATGAATCTGGAAATGGTAAATGTTAATTTGTATTTCTTCTAAAAAAACAAGAAGCAAATCATATTCCGCACATCAGTGGCTTTAAGTTTTAGCGTTAGCCGGGAGCAGTACCGCAGCAAATCGGGTTTCACGAAATTGTGGACTGTTTATCCCAGTTCTGGTCGTATCCCAGTTCTGGTCGCTACAGGCGTCCACGTTTCATCCGTAGAAAGTCTTGACAGAACGCACAAAACGTGTCAAAACCTTGATCAAAACGTGAGATACGTGAGGGAACCCATCAGGACGCGACAGGACAGGAGGAAACATAATGGCATCTGTAGTGGACTGCTGGCCTAACCGTAGAGCGCCTTTAAGCTTCCAGGACTCAGGATACCGTGATAAACCGTGAGAAAACTTGGCAGGACCTAACAAAACTTGACTTTGGAGGAAAGAAATGGCCAAAATCGCACGGCGCACTACTTTTCGGAGAAACGGGGCTGCCGCGGCCCCAGGAACATAGCGTAACCCCAGCATTAGAATTGGTCGTCAGCAACCCATGTTTGTCGTAAGAGGCGACTAACGACTAAGGTGGTCAGACTCGATGACTTTGCTGGCGCAAGTCATCGTATTCCAATTGCGTTGATCCTCATGCTGTTGAAGTCTGAATTGTCTGGTCCAGACTCAATATTGCTGAGTGCGTCGCTAAACAACCAATCAACCATTAGGATGTACTCAATCAATGCAGTACGGCGGGTAGCTGATGCGGTACACAGCAAGTGACAAATGTCTCGCCATATAGCTGGAATATTGCTGAGTGCGGCGTTAAGCAACAAACATACTCGATGCAAATGGATACCGTGGTAACATGAAGCAGTCTTTGGTACATCTTGTTTGCTGACATGCTACATGTATGTGTACGACAGCTCTAGGAATTACTATTCACAGGACCAGGTTTGCCACAAATGCAAACCATATATAGTTTCTGGCAATTGTTAACCCATTTCCTGAAATCATGCATATTTCGAGGCCAAATATATTTTTCATTGTTTATTAAAATCCAGTTTTCATCATTTCAAGCCGTCGCTGACATTCTCCTTTTAATTTAAGTAAGCTGGTTTGTATATAAATGTGAATCAAAAACAAATAATGTCAAGAATAGAAAATAAATCTATAATTCATATTTTGTGTGAAAACAAAGAGACAATATGTAACATGTAATACGGGGGAGTACTATGCAGTACTTGACGTCAAACAATGCAAAATGGTGTATACTGTATAGCTGGAAGCAAATGTTGAAATATGCTACATCTGTCACACAATCATATTTGATGCCACTTGTCTCATATTCGATAATACAGTCATGTGTTGATGCTTGCTGCCTGAAAACCGACACAATTCTGCATATCCAGCAATATATACCAACAAAACAAACACAGAGGCATGGAGACCTGAAGTCTCTGGGCAATGGGCAAGTCAAAATATTTATGTGTAATCATTAACGTTGCGTACAAACTAGTAAGCATGAATATTTTGATATAACAAACTGTAGGGTAAACCACGATGCTGCACTGGCGTTTGGGCTAACGTGCCACCGGGTGTTCTGGAGATTACCAATGAAGCTTTTGGGCCGCCTCGCTGAAGCTCCTAGGGTGTCGGAGCTTTTACCATCATGCATTTGGACCAACTATTGCACCAGAGTTTACCATTTTGCATTTTGGCCAATTGTAGTACCTCGGTTACCAGAGCCTTCCATCATGCATTTCGAATACGTGGGCAAGAGAGTTTACCATATTGTATTTGGGCCCATTGTAGTGCCTCGGTTGCCTTTCATTATGCATTTTGGATATGTGGGTAACCGGCGCCTAACATCTTTCTCATCTGGACCAACTGTGGCACCAGAGTTTACCGTTTTGTATTTGGGCCAATTGTAGTGCCTAGGTTACCAAAGCCTACCATCATGCATTTTAGGCACAGGGGAACCGGAGTCTGCTATCATAATTTTCCATTTTGGTAAACTGCAGTACCAGAGTTTACCATCATGCATTTGGGCGAAGCGTGGCACCTTGGATACTGTAAGACTTACTGTGATGCTTAATGAGCTTACTATGATGCATTTGAGACACACGTGCCACCTTATGCTCAAGGTTAGCTTGTGTTGCCTGGAGACATATAGCACTGAACTATCTGGTTTAAGCTAGGATTACAGGCATATGATCAAGTCAAAATGTTGATTAAACTCCTACCGAACGATGCATTATTGCCATAGACATAGATATAAGTGTATTATATGCAGTTTCACCACGGGATTGTGCAGTCAATCCGCCAAAATAGAGGAGAGGACAGAGATACTGCCACTTGCTGTAATACTGCTAATCTATGGAATAAGGAAGCGGGGAAGGTTGTACTACCACGTGTAATTATGAACGTGGACTCTTTAGGTGAGTTTCACGCTGTAGGACCCTCTGACATCCCCGAGCTGCTCCGACTCCAGACCAAAGCTGGCCTCTCTCTTCTTCTGGGTTCGAGGAAAGACTGTAGGCCACATCTTGATCGTCTTCTTCCAAGTCTGTCCAGGAGAGATGCTTCTGAAAAACAGCATGAGCGAGCCAGTCAGTGACGTGTTCAATGTGAGTCCGTCAGTGTTAGTCCCTTATTTGGTCAATGTTAGAGGCTCAGGTAATGTTAGTGGGTCAGGGCAAAAAGGTGAGACGATAGAGGGTCTTTCAATGTCAGTCTGAAAATTGGTCAGTGTGAGTCGATAGCGGGTCTTTCAATGTGAGCTTGAGAATGAACCAATGTGAGTCGATAGCGGGTCTTTCAATGTGAATTTGTGAATAGGTCAATGTGTGTCGATAGCGGGTCTTTCAATGTGAGTTTGTGAATAGGTCAACGTGTGTCGATATAATGTGTGTCTATATAATGTGCGTGAGAGTATATGTATCAAAGACCAAGAAATTATTGAATCTGGGCCAGTTAGTCCAGTGACAAAATCTGACCCCATTTCAATCGGCGCTTCACGCATGAGGTATTTCCGTCCCGAACCCTAACAAAGTTGGGGTTTAAAATTAAGAAAGAATTAAATATTACTGACCCTATTGTGATTTTGTCCATCAGTGGTGCCACCGTTTTCATGTTGCCTTCAATCTCCACCTCGCATTTGGTCATCGAGACGGGGAGCGGGTTGGTGAAGGAGATGTCCACCTCTGTTGCCTCCCCGGCTTTAACAGTGGAAGGACCCTATATAACACAGGACATGGGGCAGTATATATACATATATATTGATGGGAGCGGGTTTGTGAAGGAGATGTCCACCTCTATTGTCTCCACGGCTTTAACGGTGGAAGGACCCTATATAACACAGGACATGGGGCAGTATATAAACATATATATTGATGGGAGCGGGTTTGTGAAGGAGATGTCCACCTATGTTGCCTCCCCGGCTTTAACAGTGGAAGGACCCTATATAACACAGGACATGGGGCAGTATATATACATATATATTGATGGGAGCGGGTTGATGAAGGAGATGTCCACGTCTACTGTCTCCCCGGCTTTAACAGTGGAAGGACCCTATATAACACAGCATGTGAATTTCACATTAGAAACACATTTCCAGAACTACTACCGTTGTCTATTAACGGTCTTATATATCAATCAATGAAATCCCACCTTTATAACAAGGTCAGGGCGGCGCAGCTGAACGTTGTAGAGTTGTGTGAACAGACTTCCGGTTTCCTTGACCTTCGTTAAAACCTGGATCTGGAAGTTGAAGCCTTCCTGTGGGCGCATCATTGCTTGCTGGGGTGACACACTCAAGGTGAAAGTCTGGCCTGTAAACACAATACCCATTGGGTCATGTTCCACACAGGTATCGTAGAGCTTTCGCTCGTTTGATACCAAATCATTAACGCGTTAAATAAAAATGGTATTCCACGGAAGATCGATTAGTATCGTCTATTTATGTCTCACGAATATGACCACAATGGTACACCTACTCTCCTCCGCCTGTGATAGCTTAGTAGAATCTACTTTTAGTGTCTTCTGTGTTAACATTGTTGCCTCTTCACACCTGCCTGTAATGAATACGATATATGTCTCCCGTTGCTACAACGTTAAATCAACTCCACCGTATGTAATACGTATGAGGATTACTAAACGACCTTCCGTGTAATCCCATTTTTATTAAACGGGTAAATGATTTGGTATCAAACGAGCGAAAGCGACTTTGAAACACAATCATTCACGACTTTAATAAAAATGGTATTTCACGGAAGCGAGTTTGGTATTCTGTTTTTTCTCTCCAACATAAACTGATAGAAACTGCCTACAGTGTGATGACTGTCAGCTTTCCGCGAGTCAAGCAAACTCTAATACCGTTGTGACAGAGGTAATAACATTGTGACCTCATAACTGTACCATTATGACGTTATTACACTAGTGTAATATTGTCGTAAAGTTATTACACTGCAGTATCTTGCACGGGCGAGTAATAAGTCAGTTTATTATATAAGCATATTTTTCCGGCTACCTGATTGGTCTAGAGGGTCACTGTCGACAGAAAAGCATATTGACTCCCACCCAGGTCCGACCAAAAGTATTATTGTCTTGAGGTTTTTTTCGGTAATTACATAATAAAACAATTATGGACTGGGGAATTCGATCAATACCTGTTTTTATGGACCCACGAAAGGCAATATTGATCTCGGTCTTCGTCCTCTGTCAATACTGCTTTTCGTGGGTCCCTAAATAGAGAATACTACACGAGGTCTTATTACATACGAAATAATACGAAACGAGTGTCCTTCCTATGGTATCTGACCGAGCGAAATGCATTTAAGTTGTAGAGTGAATGAATTCACGTGTTTGTTATGAATGAAAAAATAGTTACGTCAGAATGTGACCTAACTGAAAGGTCATCGGTTATCCAATCAAATCGTTAGAATCTCAGGTCAAGTCGTTACGACACAGGTCAACGCGATGTGACACTCGTGTGACGTACGATATTAGTATGCAACTACCCATACGTTGGCCACGTGAGTAATAATTAAGAATATTTCACTCATATATGACGACGTCCATGCGTGTGTATGTGTGGCGTCTTGTACTTGCCCTGACCATTAATGCCGAGCGCCCGGCAGGGACATACAAGTACCATATGTTAACGTTACCAATACGTTGACCTCGTGGGTAATAAAAACAGGTATTTGACCTCATCACCAGTCTATAATTGTATAATATATCACGTCTCTTACGACTCCAATGTTACACCTACTTTGCCCTGCTTGTAATGTCTCCATCTTTTCAGACTGGGCAGCCGTCCCCGTCGTGACGCCGTGGTAGGTACTGTGAAAGATGTCGATAAACAAGGTAACGGTGCGGGCCACGTTGTCGTTGTTGCGGGCGTGTATCTTTACCGAGAAGCCCATTCCCACCATGACATCGATATTGTCCATACTCAGTCCAATGGCCTGAGTTAAGAAATTGAAAATATAACCCCTCCTTGGTTAAAACGTTCACCATATTTAAGAATCAACAGAACGTTTTAACCCATCAAGCCTGTCCATAGCACCATGTGTTACAATACGAATATGTATAGACTAACATCTAGTCTCTGAAGTGAGCATATTTCACAGAGAATTTCAAAATTAAAATAATTACAATTAAAAGAAGCCCATAGACTTCCTCCATTATCAGAAACCGTGGTAATCTGGACTTGCCACACATTCTAGACTTGCATGTGCTGGATTGGGGATATGTGTTTTATGGTCTGAGTGACAGACAAGAATATGTATAAATGCACCACATATTTAATACTAGCACTATCTAGTGTTAAACTCTCGCCCTCACCTGTGACATCGGCAGCTCATCCTCATCGTCATCCAGATTGTCCTTTCTGAACATCGCCTGGGCCTGTCGGAGCACATCTCTTGCTTTCGCGGAACCTGTGAGAAGACAGAGTAACTGAAATAACGACATCAGTTGGCAATAGGCCTGGGCCCCATTTAACAAAGCTCTCGTAAGCCTAACATCTCGTAATGTTTCTTCTCGTAGCATTTGTACCTCCTATACTGTAGGACTCGTAAGCCTAACATCCCGTAACCGTTCTCGTAGCGTTCGTACCTCCTATACCGTAACATAGAAGGTACGAATGCTACGAGAAAAGTTACGAGATGTTAGGCTTACGAGAGCTTTGTGAAACGGGGTACTGGTCTAGTTTCAGTGACCATCAGCTTTCCTTCCTGGGTGCTGTAGTGCTTTTACTAAGGCTCCGGGCAGTAAGACTACCTTCAAGGTGCGTGTAGTGCTTTTACCAAGGCTCCGGGCAGTAAGACTACCTTCAAGGTGCGTGTAATGCTTTTACCAAGGATCCGGGCAGTAAGACTACCTTCAAGGTGCGTGTAGTGTTTCTACCAAAGCTCCGGGCAGAAAGACTACCTTCAAGGTGCGTGTAGTGCTTTTACTAAGGCTCCGGGCAGTAAGACTACCTTCAAGGTGCGTGTTGTGCTTTTACCAAGGCTCCGGGCAGTAAGACTACCTTCACGGTGCGTGTAGTGTTTTTACCAAGTGTCAATAAGGTGTGTGTTGTGCTCTGTCCAGTGGTCATTGACAGTGGGCCTACCTTGCGGATACTTATACTGGTCAGTTACATCCAGTCGCTGCAGCCCGACCTGTGACTCACGGGATGGACTGTGGGTGCTGATATTCTTGCCAATACTGCAGAAACACGCGGAATAATTAGGAAACGGACGTCAAGGACGCATCATGTTCTAGTCAAGGACATAGGCAACACGGGGACATATACAATAAGGGGAATTGTGCTTGTCAGGAACATATGCGTGAGTGAGCGAGTGAGTTTAGTTTTCCGCCGCTTTTAGCAATATTCCAGCAATATCACGTCGGGGGACACCAGAAATTGGCTTCACACATTGTGTCCATGTGGGGAATCGACCCTGGGTCTTGGGCGTGACGAGCGAACGCTTTAACCACTAGGCTACCCCCACCGCCCCCATATGCGTGAGGTGGAAGTGCTTGTCCTGAACACATATGTGACAAAGACTAGTGTTAGTCAGAGACCTATACCAATTTGGAACCTACCATTATCTGGGACAGTCGTACCAGTCGGGGAACCTATTCTATTCATATATACTGTATAATATATTGCAATTAGGAACGGACTAATGCGATGACTGTCGACTTCACCCACCAGAGTGTTACTCACATGTTCCTGATCCGCTTCACTTGTTTGAGTTTTCTGGTCACTGAATCCTCTTCCCAAGTCACTAAGTCCGCATTGACCTCCGCGAACACGAAGGGCGTGTCATGGCCGATGTAGATAAGCCCTTCCTTGATGGCCTTCAATGGGGCGGGACCACAACAGAACGCGCCTGTAAATGCATGAAAGAGACAAGGCAATAGGTGAGTGAAAAGGATACAAGTTCTCTAACAATATATGTGTGCGTTTTAGGTGTACTGTATGTCAAGTAACATTGGTTGTTATCATATGTAATGTATTATTGGGCGTTATTGTATGTCAAGCATTAACAGCTGGTAACATATGTCAAGTATCACTCATTATTATTGCATATCAGGCATCAATGGTTGTTATTGTGCTTCAAATATCAATGGTTATTTTTGTGCATCAAGTATCAATGGTTATTATTTCGCGTCAAGTATCAATGGTTGTTTTTGTATGCCAAGAATCAATGGTTGTTATTTTGGTGGCAAGTCTCAATGGTTATTATTTTGCGTCAAGTATCAATGGTTATTATTGTGCATCAAGTATCAATGGTTATTATTGTGCATCAAGTACCAATGGTTGTTATTGTGTATCAAGTATGAATGGTTGTTATTGTGTATCAATTATCAATGGTTGTTATTGTGTATCAAGTATCAGTGGTTATGATTGTGTATCAAGTATCAGTGGTTATGATTGTGTGTCAAGTATCAATGCTTATGTCGGTGTCCCTCCCACCTTCACTTTCCTCCTGGGGCGTGGCATCAATGGCCTGCCACCCGTCAAACTGTTTCCCCAAGTCTGGGCGACTCATCCATACCTCGTTCCATACATGAAAGTTCCTGGGAAATTCAAACGTTCTTTGTCATACGTAAATGGGCTAAAACTGAATAAAACACGACAGTCAGCAATACTATTGTAGATATGTACGCTTTTCCCTGAACACGCAGTCTCTTATCAAATAGGCTCGTACATCAACCTGGGCGATGGGGTAGCCATATGGTTAAAGCGTTCGCCCGGGTTCGATCCCCCACATGGGTACAATGTGTGAAGAGCATTTCTGGTGTCCCCCGTCGTGAAATTGCTAGAATATTGCTAAAAGCGGCGTAAACCTTAACTCACTCACTCTTACATCTACCATGAGATACTGGCTACTTGCTACCCATGCAAATGACTATATGATAGTAAAACACGAACAATTATTCTAGGCTTTCTTATTTTTTAAATAACTTAAAATATTGTTTTTCCAAACAATAATTGAAAAATATCAATAGATGTCACAAAACATCAGAAAACAATATCGTTTTAGTCTATTAATTCCATAAATTTGTCAAGAACAGCATTGGCACCATCTTCCAACTGTCCTCGGACATGAACCCCCATACTTACCATTTCCTGTCGCCGGAGACGTTGACATAGCCACCCGTATGGTTGGGTCGGTATATTTCGTCTAAGCTTAGACGTTCCTTGTCAGTGTTGTGAGAAGATTCATAGTTGGTGACACTCCTACAGGGCAGTCCTATCGCTCGGCACACTGTGGATACAGCGAGCAATGTATTATTAATTACGGTGATATTCAAATTCATAAACATAACTTTCAGCCCAGAAAATACATGACTATAGCATGTGAGCGTTGTCACGACGCGTCAGCTTAATCTGACGCAGGTCTCAGACGTGTACCACTGTGGTGGAACCCACGAACACGGGTTTGGTGCTGGCAAACCTAGAAATATAATCGGGGAAATCGGGATTCGAACCAACAACCATAGGTTTTTGTGTACCCGGAGGGCGCATCACTGCAAAGATAATTGCGGCGCGATAGACGATTTGGCAGTCGTGTCCACTAACTTGTTGCATGTATGTCAGAAGGATAATTGTTCTCTATATTAATGATAGAATTGTTCGCCTATACTGATAACAATGATATTGACAGTTTTCCTTTGCTGATAATGACAATACTGAGTATTTCCTACTCATACGACCCGACCCACCCCACCCATGCCACTCCACCCCATCCCTACCCGCGCCCACAAGTAGTGCTAAACAACCATACTCATTTAGCCCTCTACTGCAAAGTAAAAACACCGATTGTTTGTCCACACTGTTAAACAACAATTCGGATTGTTTATCTATACCGTTACACAACAATAGATTGTTCATCCACACAAGTACTGTAAGACAACAATACGGATTGTTCATCCTCATTGTTAGACAACAATACGGAAACTCCCCATTCTTAAACAACAATTCTGCATGTTCTTCTCCATGGTTAACAACAATACTGATTGTTCATCCACACTGTTAAGCAACAATACGGATTGTTCATCCACACAAGTACTGTAAGACAACAATACGGATTGTTCATCCTCACTGTTAGACAACAATACGGAAACTCCCCATTCTTAAACAACAATTCTGCATGTTCTTCTCCATGGTTAACAACAATACTGATTGTTCTCCCCACCTGTTACGAGGACCCCTGAGAAGACCCAGCACTGTCCGAACTTGACCGGTTTGGCGGTGGACATGTACTGCTTCAGGATCTTCACACTCCCTGTCCAAGTGTTAGGATGCGTGCCGCCGTCGAAACCGCCATTCCATTTCCCATACAGGACGCCGTTGTCATCGTTGAAGTTCACCTGAGCATTAATAAATATGACAGTGTGGCAGTGCACAATTTACAATTGGATGCTTTACATTTGTATATTTATGTGTATGTATATATTTGTATATATTTGCCACACACTTCACGTTCATTCTAAACAATGCACAATTTACGATTAGATGCTTTACATTTGTATATTTATGTGTATGTATATATTTTGTATATATTTTCCACACATTTCACGTTCATTCGAAACAGTTACTAATGTGTCACTTTAGTTATCCTTCATGCCAAAGGTCAAGCTGACATAAGGCACTTTGCAAAGGTAATTAACATCAACCATAAACCATTTGAAGTGTCTACTTCAAATTCAATCTATTATCAAACTAAAAGTGTGTTGACACTGATGTTAACGTTAAGTTTGATGACGGTGTAATACTATCATTGGTCTCATCTGGATCCTTACAGGGAATGTCTCAAGATCGAAGTGAGTGCACCTTCTAGACAAATGAAGTAAGAATATGGAATAATCCATGGTCACTGGCGTGAGTACTCACTATCTTGGAGAGCATCCTGGCAACCTTGCTGGCGTTCCCCATGGATCGTGTCATCTTGAAGTTGAAGCCTTTCCTAAGAAGATGGAGAGCGGCGTGCAGGATGCCGTCCTCAAACTGGCCAACAGATTGGTTCAAATTATTTACAGGTTAAACCTGGTCCTCAAACGAGTGTGTGTCCAACTAAGGGTTAAAATTATTATCAGATTAAAAACAGGCCCTGAAACGAGTGGGTGTCCACTAACAGGTACATATCTACAACAGATTAAACAGGTCCTGAAATGAGTTGCTGTCCACCAAAGGGTTCATGTCTACAACAGATTAAACAGGACCTGAAATGACTGGGTGTCCACCAAAGGGTTCATATCTACAACAGATTAAACAGGACCTGAAATGACTGGGTGTCCACCAAAGGGTTCATATCTACAACAGATTAAACAGGACCTGAAATGACTGGGTGTCCACCAAAGGGTTCATATCTACAACAGATTTAACAGGTCCTGAAATGACTGGGTGTCCACCAAAGGGTTCATGTCTACAACAGATTAAACAGGACCTGAAATGACTGGGTGTCCACCAAAGGGTTCATATCTACAACAGATTAAACAGGACCTGAAATGACTGGGTGTCCACCAAAGGGTTCATATCTACAACAGATTAAACAGGACCTGAAATGACTGGGTGTCCACCAAAGGGTTCATATCTACAACAGATTAAACAGGTCCTAAAATACCAATGAGGGTTCAAAGGGTTCATATCTACAACAGATTAAACAGGTCCTAAAATGAGTTGGTGTCCACCAAAGGGTTCATATCTACAACAGATTAAACAGGTCCTAAAATGACTGGGTGTCCACCAAAGGGTTCATATCTACAACAGATTAAACAGGTCCTGAAATGACTGGGTGTCCACCAAAGGATTCATATCTACAACAGATTAAACAGGTCCTGAAATGAGTTGCTGTCCACCAAAGGGTTCATATCTACAACAGATTAAACAGGTCCTAAAATGAGTTGGTGTCCACCAAAGGGTTCATATCTACAACAGATTAAATAGGTCCTAAAATGAGTTGCTGTCCACCAAAGGATTCATGTTAACAACAGATTAAACAGGTCCTGAAATTAGTTGGTGTCCACCAAAGGGTTCATATCTACAACAGATTAAACAGGTCCTGAAATGACTGGGTGTCCACCAAAGGGTTCATATCTACAACAGATTTAACAGGTCCTGAAATGAGTTGGTGTCCACCAAAGGATTCATGTCAACAACAGATAAAACAGGTCCTGAAATGAGTTGGTGTCCACCAAAGGGTTCATATCTACAACAGATTAAACAGGACCTGAAATGACTGGGTGTCCACCAAAGGATTCATATCTACAACAGATTAAACAGGACCTGAAATGACTGGGTGTCCACCAAAGGGTTCATATCTACAACAGATTAAACAGGTCCTAAAATGAGTTGGTGTCCACCAAAGGGTTCGTATCAAGCGAAGCAGTAGCAAAAAGCGGGTTCAGATGCATTAACATATTAACCCTAGTCCTCAAACGAGTCAAAAACAACACAAAGTCTCAAATCCAGACCACGCTAAACCTGGTCATGACATCAACTAAAATTGCAAAGTCTTTTACAAATTCTGCACAATGCCGACTTATTTATTTATCGGCTAGGTAATGAAATACTATATGTCTTCAGAAAGATAGTTCTGTGGATAAAGTGTATTGAAAACGATAAAAAGTATGGACTTCATACTGAATATGACGCCTTCAACTACTTTACAAAGCAGAATCTCACGATTTGATATAACTGTAAATCACTTATTACTTTGAATTTTTTTTTATACATTTTGTTGAATAGACAAATCAAAAACTACAGAAAAAAAAGCTCGAATTAATGTGTGAGCAAGTTATGATACAAATGTTTCACTCTGCATTGTTATTTTGACAGTGTCTGACAATACAAAAAGCTCATTGTGTCGTCCGTGAACTTGAACCATTTCTGATTGAAGTGGACATGGGTGATCGTGTCCATACATGCGAATGTTGTCATGAATTGCGACCTGTTAACGCCATCTTGTCAGTGGGTATGCGTGCGTACTTCATACAAGAACAGTTAAAAATAGTCTTGTTCTTTATGTATGCATTTCTAAGAAGGGACATCGTAGCATGGTCGCATTGTCGTGTTGTCTCCCTTTAATAAAAAGCAGAAAGTGTCAAAATTAGCCAACGCGCGACAATGCGACATCGTGACAATATCCTTTAAGTGATTCCATAGTTATTAGGGCTGCACGGTATATCGCCATCCTTTCATTGACGACAAATGTTTACGATCGTTATTCAATCACAAAACTGCATACTGTATTATTATAAATTGTATAAAAAAGAAAATAGCATCTATGACTATGCAACCTAATTTTGAGATTGCTGTTATCAGAGCCATGACATGTATATTTGGGGACTTGTAATGTAGAAAATAGGATTGACATGCACAATTAGCGTCACTCACTGTTAGGGCTACACAATATAACCGTTTAACGGTATTTACCGGTTCAGACATGAAAATTATACGTATTGCGATACACTGATCGAAAACCGGTATTTTTTACATGCAATCGGAAAACTTCGCAACACTCAGAAATCTTCGGATATTTCCGTGTTTCACACCGGAAGTCATGTGTTTGTTGTGAAATGGCGACCCTCAACAACGATCAATTTATTGTGGTGCCAAATACTAGGGCAAAGGCTTCACTAGGGCAGCATTTGGGGTTGAACCACTGTGTTGATGTTAAATTGTTCTTTCGCATCACAATGGATAACAATATGAAAATTCTCTGCAATACCCACCCCTACTCACTGTCAAAATCTTAAGGTCCCAACATATCGAAATACGGGTATCTGAATCGCAATATATTGCAATACAATTTATTTGCCAATACACAGCCCAAATAGTTATGACCTATTTTTAGAACTGAGTCAGACGAATCAAATGACTGTTGCCTTGGTAACAAGAGTGTGTTTTGTTACTTATAGTATTTATATTCGTTCTTCGTTCAAACCTTAAAGTTTTGAAGCGTAAACTATTGCAGCTATGTACCTTGGAACGGTATTTATACAAACCACTTGGGCCTGTTAACCCACCTCAGCCACGTCAACTTGAATACAATATGTTGAATTGATAAAATTTACTGGACGAAGCTAGGTCACCATGACCAAACGATAACAAAACACCGCTAAAAAAACAATGAAGTTTAGTTCGAAAACCTGTCTCTTCACAGGGCGTACAATACACAATATTTATTGGCGGCTGTAATTTAAGAGGTAGTGGTTATAAAAAAAGGATATTTGTCTAGCTTGAACTACAAAGATATACTCTCCCCAAAACCGCATATAGGTATTTCTACTGTATTTTTATGTTTATTTTGAAACATCTTGTAGGCTTTATCAGTCAATGAAATAAAGCGGAATTGCACACTGGGAATGCAGAGTTATCTGTCTTTGGTACCAACTCGAAGAAAGTCAGTTTGAGTGTCACATGGAGACTTGTGGTGGCGCTGAAGTCAATACCTCGTGTGACCACCGTGGGCATCCAGAACTGCACGACATCGCCTCGGCATCGAACGAATAAGTCTCAGAATCTCGTGTTGCCCAATCGCAGCCCACTCTGCCTGTAGTGCCTGTGCGAGTTGCTGAAGTGTCTGGGGCTGAGGGTTACGGCGTCGTACCCGTCTGTCCAGGGCATCCTACAGATGTTCGATCGGGTTTAAGTCCGGTGATCTTGAGGGCCAGGGGAGCACATTGATGTCGTGGTTCTGGGGGAAGTCTCTAGTGTGACGTGCTGTGTGGGGCCTGGCATTGTCCTGTTGAAACAACTCCCTCTGGCGATCAAGGATTAGAAGGAGGTGTGGGCTTAGGATTTCGTTACAGTACCGTTGAGCTGTCAGGTTGCCCTGGATCATCACCAAATCACTTCTGGCAGGTGATCGTTCCCCACATCATAACACTTACCCGGCCGAATCTGTCCACCTGGGGAACGCAAGTGTCGGCGAAACGTTCACGTCGACGTCTGTACACCCGCATTCTTCTATCGCGTCTTTCCAATAGAAATCGTGATTCATCAGATTCTACGCCAATTCGGTAGGTTCCAGGCCTGAACGTTGGTGCACCATTGAACTCGATGTCGACGATGTTGTTGTCGAAGCTCAGGGCCAAAATAAGGTCTTCTGGCACGTAAACCAGCCTCTCTCAACCGATTCATGACGGTCTGTGCAGAAAGCCTCCTCAATCCGGGTATTTGTCGAGCGGTACTGGTCGCCGTAGCTGTTCGATGACGCAGGTGATGTACCCGGATGTAGCGATCGAGGCTCGAGGTCGCCCACTACGAGGGGCATCTGCTTCCGCATTCTGCCGGCGATATCTCTCCCAGAGCCGTGAAATGGTGCTTTGGTGAACATTCATGCGTCGGGCAACTGCACGTTGAGACTGGCCAGCTTCAAGCAAACCAATGGCGATATGACGGTTGGCTTCACTTAGACGTGGCATTTTGCGTTCGTCAACAATATTCCAAATACAGTGAATAATCGACAGCCAGCGATCAACCTTTTATACCCATCATTGAGACTATCTGATCCCCAACTTTCACATCCCCGAGATTGAAAATCATGCTGTTAAATACGGGTATTTTACGGATGGTGCGTTTTGTTGTGATGTTTCAAAACATAAACACCATAGGACTCAGTTTTAATTCATTGCTACATGAAATTGCTATTTTCATGATGCGTTTCTTTTTTGGGAGAGTATATTTACAAGCTGTAAATGAGAACGTAATATTACAACTGTACATCTGGTGGTATTACTGACACCTGGCTGGTATCCATTGAATATAAACAGAATCACATTATGTAATGTGATGTTATTGTGGTGAGTTAGTGAGTGAATGAGTTCTTCTGACAATATTCCAGCAAAAGTACGGCGGGCCACACCAGAAACGGGCTTCGCACATTGTACTAATATTGCGCATCAAACTCAGGCCTTCTGAGTGACGAGAGAATGATTTAACCGCTGGGCTACCCCCACTACCCCTAGTGACTATCGTCCTGTCAATGCATGCAGCTTTGTTGTGTCGTGTATCGAAAATTTTCATCACTGTCTGGGCTGTCTGAGCTGTGTGACCAGACTTGGAACTTCTCACTTTACGTAGAGGGCCGGGGCACATTATTTTTAAGGAATGGAGAGTTACGAGGATATTACCCTACTTAAATTACATTCGAAGTATTGGGAATGTTGCTGTTATCAAAATTAAATGTCAAAATGACAAAATGAAGGTTTTATTTTGAAACTGGTACACATCGCTCCATTCCTAAAAAGTAATGGAGCGAACAGACAATGGAATGACGTCACAAATGTAATTTAATTTGTTGTCAAACGCTGCACTAAGCAACGTCACAGCTGGCTGTAAATAATCGAGTCGTGACCAGAAAATATCTCCCTTCAAGTGTAAGCTATTAGTAGTATAGTAAGGGTCCGCCGATGCTCCTTTGGGGGGATCAGGTGGTTAAGATGTTCATTGGCTAATCAAAGTCACGTCATCATAGTGTAAGCTATTAGATTTGGGTACGTTCTGAGGGGAAATGTTTAACAATGTGATTTGTACCATCTGCTTGGACAGGATACTATTTCAGAATTTCAACACTACAAGCAACTAATTACACTACTAATCACAACTGGACTGACATCTAGTCCCTAGAAATAGTTTATTTTATACACATCTGCAAAGAAAAAAATATTAAATAAAATCCGAAGAGAACCCAGAAAAACAAGATCTTCAGACTTGGGGCAAGCTAGACCTACCAAATAATTCTGGATAAAAGGGTATGGGATATAAACTAGGGCTCTACATTAACTATATAATCACACTGGGGCACTAAAAACTCAGAAACTCTTCACATCCGGGCATTACAAACTCAGTAACCCCAATAGCACCTCCTCTGACCGAGCTGGCAGTAACTCACCAGACCCCAACAGTAACTCACCAACCCGAGCTGCCAGTAACTCACCAGACCCCAACAGTAACTCACCTGACAGATCTGCCATTAACTCATCAGACATGGCATCAACTCACCTGACCGAAGTACCAGGGCTTGCCGTTAATGTTATCGTAATCTCCCTGGTACAACACTCCCGAGTCGTTTTCCACAGCCTCCGCTAGCCACTCTGGGTCAGGCAGATAAACCACATCATCTGTCCCGACAGAACGTACATTTCATCAGCCTGAATCCCTGCAGATTCATCCTAGTGTTCATTAAACAATTGTCATATATCCATGTACCGTACACATGCATGGTCAAACAAGTGAAAAATATTACAAACAAGCACTAGGCTCACATTTAGTCCAAGAAATAGAAAGGAGTCCAGACGATCACTTTCTTCAGACAGAGGGCAATTTAGAGTTACCGAATAATTCTAGAAAAGGCTTGGAGCACTATTCAATCCCAGAAATATAAACATCTTGTCACAATAGATATATCTAAAAAACATTCCAACCAAAAGGAGCCCTGGACATTAAGAGCAGAGCTGTCTAGGCTTGCAAAATTACTCTTGTCTGAGTTGGGCAATTTTCTTTATTTTTTTGTAATCTGGGAGAGGACGACAGAACCTGTAGTGCCAAGGTGAAAATAATTAGTTAGTTTTACAGATGTTTCACTTAGCAGTACATCAAGACCTGTCTGTTAATATGTTTAGTAGTTTTATTACATAATAATTACAATGTTAAAGAAATTATTATGTAATAAAACTACTAAACATCTAAAGAACTTAAAGTCATTTCTGAATGAATTGTATAAATCGCTTACTAAGTAATATTCAAATGATCATGTCCAGCCACTTGCCATGTATATGTATTTATAGATTCTCATGTACCACCGTTGGTTGGTTGAGAATAAACTTCTCTGTCTGTGTGTCTGTCTGTTAATATGGGGTGGAAGAGCTAACTGCTGTGTTCCACTTTGGTGAAACCAACAAGCAATCTTATGGTCATGACTATCCAGAGATTATGACTACTGTATATCTGAGATTCAAGAGGAGGCAATTCCACACATCGAACTTTATGGCATAAACCACTTTGCTACCGTACACCTGAGAAAAACTATTTCAATATATTCCCTTTCACGTGATATTATTTTGACAGTTGAATTGCTTTTGCTTTTTAATGTGCATTTGTATTAGTTTTCTATTCCCCCGGAGATCTAAAATCAATTTAACAGTTTAAATTCTATTTTTTTTTCGTATTTACCAGTATAACCGGGTGATCTAAAACACTCCATGTTTGAATATTGTGTCTCACCTTTACACCAAGGATTAAAGATGATAATGATGTCGTCATTGTGGTTGTACTGCCAGATGAGGTCTTTGCCGTTCTCGACGTCCACGGTGGTCCTGACAATCAAGTCCCACACTCCAATAGGGGTAGAAGCTGGGGAGAACACTTCTACTGTGAGAGAGTTACCTCCCTTCTTGACGACGGTGGCGCCCCATTTGCGTGGCTTATAGGACGTGTCTTCGTCTTCCGTCACCTTGAAGAGCTCCTCGACTGTGCTGTCGTTTTCTCCAGACGCTGCATGAAGAGTCATGATAAGTGGACAGTGCATCAGAGCATCAGTGAGTGAGTGAGTTTAGTTTTACGCCGCCCTCAGCAATATTCCAGCTATATGGCGGCGATCTATAAATAATCGAGTCTGGACCAGACAATCCAGGGATCAACAGCATGAGCATCGATCTGCGCAATTGGGAACCGATGACATGTGTCAACCAAGTCAGCTAGCCTGACCACCCGATGCCGTTAGTCCCCTTTTACAAGCATACTCGCCTTTTGTGGCAAGCATGGGTTATCAGGGCATCAAGCATCAGTTCCAATTTAACCATCAGTACAGGGTGCGTGACAATGCAGATTATTACCATCACACGGTTCAAAAAGCAAACGCAGCCACCATTCGACAACCTGCCTGTCAGTAAAGTTGTCCTAGACAATTTGCAATACAGTGGAACTTCCTTAACGTGACAGGGAAGAATATATACGGATGCTGGGTGAAATACTTCTGTCTGGAACTACAGTGACGTAATTTTGAATTTTTCGTAGTTTTGAATCCATCGGATAAAAGTGGTATCCGTCAGGGTCATTTGCAATAAAAATATGTACTAAAACAAGAAAACTGACAGGGAAAAGAAAATATACCAAGTTTCTATGTAACTGAGAAAGAAATGTTGTGAGAATTGGCTGTCTTTTTTACCAGCACTAGTACCTACAAAAAAAAGGTATTCTGTGGCTGATTTTGTAGAAACTCAAGTTGGTGCAGTACAAATGGGGTAAAGATGCATTTGTAACCTCTTGATCCATACACAATGTTCAAAATGTTGTAACTCTGAGTCTTAAAAGATCAAATCTATTGGTTTTCAATCTGTCTGTATATTGCGAAAGATTATATTTTAATATTTAAAAGCATTAAATCAAATTGTATTTTTAAAAATAACACTACGTAGAAAAAATGACTTGATTGCTAACTAACTTCAATTGAAAAACAAAATTAATATAAGTAGTTGAAGATTGGTGAAGAAATTAAAGGGGACAATGTTTATCATTATCGATTCAATTATAGATACCGAAACGGCTAGCAGCATCCGTTTCCATACATGTGCTGTGGACTTCTGCGGCTTGGGATAATATCTAGTATTTTAAACATGTTTGACCGTAATATTTCGTTTTGCTGCAGTATGGATAATTTATTAGCGTAATGAAAATGCAATTACCCAGCAAGCACAAAACAGCCTGTATTACAACCTAGAGTAGCCTTCCTTTGTGAATCACTGTATTGTCCGGTCCACACTCAACTATTTGCATACCTGAGTCAAATACTTGAATATTGCTTAGTGGAATGTTACTTGTTTGCATGTGTTTTTGTTGGCTTCTTTGCGGAGAGTTAGTGGAATGCGAAATGGGGTCTAAATAATATATGGTACACACGTACCTAAGCTGAACAAAAGCGTGATGTCGTTCTTGTCGATGTCGTAAGGTCTGTCGAAGGTGATGGTGATGAGGAAGGGCTGACCTCTCCTGACCACCAGCTCGGCTCCCTTATGACCCCTGACCTCTGTGCACTCATACATGTCTGTGTGGTGCTGCTTGGTGTTCTCCGATATGTTAAGGTCAAGGTTGGTCACGTGCAGTTTTGAGGCCAAATCGTCTCCTGTAATCTCCGATCGTTCATCCACCCTTTCCTTGTCTCCTGTTTAAGAAACATAAAATGGTTATTTGTTTACCTTTGAAAGTCAAAAATGTCTTAAATATTCCATTGTCCATTCTACATATTCTGTTCTGGAAACCTCATTCATTTTAACGTGTTTTAAACATTCAAGCACACGTGGATACAATGCGTAACGCCCATTTCTCGTGTTCAAGCCTGGTAAAGCGGGTTTTATACACTAACTCATTAGAATTTCTTAATTTCAGGCATATAACCACTATCAGCCTCTTTGTACCCACGATTGTCTTATCAAAGACCACATTAAACAGATTCTTATGAAAGTAATAGCCATGTACTTTGTAAGTCATTTCATAAATTATATATTTGTAACGCCTGCCTCTTGGACAGATAAGTAAGCGGCTAACAGCCACATCCCGGGGCTACCATGGAGTGAAACCAACAGCACCTGCCACATCCTGACCAAAGCTTTCTTGGTGCCTCGTGGTTATCTCCCTTTCCCCCAGGTCGTCTCTCCACCTGTTCCGGAAGTGGCTGTCGAGTTCCAGCATAGTGGGCCGTGTTCTCCCAAAGGAGTACCATGATTCGCTGAACCGACTTCTCACTATTCGAGTGGAACTGTAACATATTGTCATGTGGTTATTTTATGCTCTGGCCATATCCTTTAGCCTCAAAACGTTATATTATTGTAGGTTCACAGTAGGTCAAGTCTAGGCAAGACCTCAATTGCGCCAAAAGTCGCCGCCCTTGGTTACGTCCCTTAGTTGAATGCCGTAGACCCTGACCATGGCTTCGAATTCCGTTTCACACCATAACTATGTTGGTAGCCTTCACCCAGGTGTTAGACTCCTAAGTCAACGTGAGGTGAGGTGAGGTGAAATTGGGTTTAACGTCGTGCTTGAGAACATTTCCCTCATATGACGACGAGCATGCGTGTGTATGTGTAGGTGCGGCTGCTTGTACTAGCCTAGACTTAAGCTGGTTTTATAGTGCTAGCTCACTGAGATACCAAGCCGCAGTGAAGCATGAATACCCCACTCAGACGGATTATACTGACTCCGAGCCGACCAGTCCTTGTTGTACCCATTAATGCCGAGCGCTAGGCAGGGACCAACAAGTACCATATTTTAACGTCTTTTGGGTATGACGCGGTCGGGGATCGAACCCACGACCTTCAGCTCTCCGTCTAAGTCATGCATCACTTAGGGATATTCAATAAAGTAATACGATTAGTTCCGCGAACCCAACTAACTCGCAAAGGAGTTGGGCTTCAGTTCTAACTTAGTACAGGTGCTTTATAACATATTTGGCTTAGACTGAAACTACACCATTACACCGTATAATGGTCGTTATTTTAATATGATATTCCTTTTTCATTCTTTACAATACAGTGGGTGACATACACCTATTTCCAACGAACGAAGAACTTATTTACGACAATTATATCAGTTCACATTGAAGGTGATGAAGGTGAGTCTGACCTGAAGTTGAAGCTCCGGAAAGACATCGTCGTTGTTGGCGTCAGTGTATGATGTTGAAGTTGTTGCTAGAAACAACGCCTCTCAAACACCTGGCGTTGTATCTGCATAAGTAAAGTGGACAGTTAGACACATGCATTTCCTTCTATGTTCTATCATCTAAGGATACACTTAGACTGGAAATCTTAGATTTCAATAACATTACCTCTGATCTAAGTACCCTGATCTAAGTACCCGCAAGACTTCGGCTCAAAATTCATTATTAATTTCTCTGAATCCTGCTCTGAAGCAGTTTCTGCTACTTTTTGTGTACATGGTCTGGAGACCAAGACAGAGAGATACGGTATATTTGAGTGAGTGAGGGGTTTGGTTTTATCCCATGAATATCACGGCGTGGGCACCAGAAATTGTCTTTGTACATTGTACCCATATGGGGAATCAAACCGGGTATTCGGGTATTCGGTGTGACGAGCGAACGCTTTAACCGCTAGGCTACCCCACCGCTCCCGGTATCCTTGAATCCCCGTTTGTATTCGAGACATAAGGTGTATGTCCACCACTGTTTGTGAAGTCGCATGTATTTTGACACTATGCTAAGACTGCATGGAAATAGTTCTGTTACAAGTGAAGAGAGAACTGCAACATTATTACTGCAAAGTTGCTCATTTAGTCACTATAATTATTCATCAATTAAGCAAAAGATTGAACTGGTTTATGTATGCAACATACAAAACCAATTCGCCATCACAGCGCCCTTCTTTGACATTATGCGAGGTCGATCACGAGCTTTAAGCCTCGTATAGGGTGAGTGAGTTTAATTTTATGCCGCACTATTCAAGCTATATGGCGGCGGTCTGTAAATAATTTAGTCTGGACCAGACAATCCAGGGATCAACAGCATGAGCATCGATCTATAATCCCAAAACACGAACTGTGATACGATGACGTGTCAAAAACAAGTCAGCTATTTGCAGCGCTGACCACATGATCCCGTTAGCCGCCTCTTACGACAAGCATGGGTTACTCTGTAAAGATCAATAGACAATCTAACCCGGTTCTTTACGGGTGACCTCGTATAGAAGTACTTGTTGGCCTTTACGACAACGGGTTACTAGAAGATATAACCCGGTTCTTTACGCCACACAGTGCTCGCTCAGATATTTTGGATGTGACTTGTGACTAAAGCGCGCAGGGCTCTCTAACATCAACTCCGTCCAAGAACGTAAAGAATCAAAACAGTTTTAAATAGTTAAAGATTTGTTTCTTTCTGTATAAATAATCCCAAAACACGAACTGTGTGCTTTCTTTTGTATGTCAGTTTGGTTATGGAAAAACTAAATCTATCGGGGCTATTTGCACCATGCGCACGTAAAGAAGAGCATGATCCATAGCCCATTTATCCATTACTTCATGTGACACATAGTCACTGCGTTGCATATACACGTATACAAATTGTAGAGTAACATCACGTGCTTGCCGCACCAAGGTGTCTAATATAGTGTCAGGTGGCCTACAAACAATATTAAGACTGAAGTGAGGAGCATGCAGAGATGTACATTGTATACATGACTCGTGTCGACACCCAGGCATCTCAGCGTGTTAATACAACCACGCAATGAGTCCAGGTCGTTTAATTAACTTTATTGCGGTGAGCACTTAATCTGGACAAAGTATTTAGGTTATATCAGGTTAGGTTATTTAGGATATGACATCATGATGGTAGACAAAGTACTTTGGTATCGGGTTGTTAACAACTTTGAACGAATTTCATTATTTTGGCGTCACATCATGTTAGCATGCAGTGTAAACAAAGGGTTGTTTAAACCTACATTTTGAATTAGCATTAGAGGATATCTGTAAACCAAATCGTCCTGCTCCGTGGGTGGTGGTGGGAAGAGTGACAGAGTGAGTGATGTTGGAAAGAATGGAGTGAGTGAGTGATAATGTGTAGGCGAGAAGGGAGAAAGTGTGTGAGAGTGATGTAGGCGAGAACGGAGAAAGTGAGTGAGAGTGATGTAGGTGAGAAGGGAGAAAGTGAGAGAGGGTGATGTAGGCGAGAACGGAGAAAGTGAGAGAGAGTGATGTAGGAGAGAAGGGAGAAAGTGAGAGAGAGTGATGTAGGCGAGAAGGGAGAAAGAGAGAGAGAGTGATGTAGGCGAGAAGGGAGAAAGTGAGAGAGAGTGATGTAGGAGAGAAGGAGAAAGTGAGAGAGAGTGATGTAGGAGAGAAGGGAGAAAGTGAGAGAGAGTGATGTAGGCGAGAAGGGAGAAAGTGAGAGAGAGTGATGTAGGCGAGAAGGGAGAAAGTGAGAGGAGTGATGTAGGCGAGAAGGGAGAAAGTAAGAGGGAGTGATGTAGGCGAGAAGGGAGAAGTGAGAGGAGGATGTAGGCGAGAAGGAGGGAGAAGTGAGAGAGAGTGATGTAGGCGAGAAGGAAGAAAGTGAGAGAGAGTGATGTAGGCGAGAAGGGAGAAAGTGAGAGGGAATGATGTAGGCAAGAAGGGAGAAAGTGAGAGAGAGTGATGTAGGCGAGAAGGGAGAAAGTGAGAGAGAGTGATGTAGGCGAGAAGGGAGAAAGTGAGAGGGAGTGATGTAGGCAAGACGGGAGAAAGTGAGAGGGAGTGATGTAGGCAAGAAGGGAGAAAGTAAGTGAGAGTGATGTTGGTTGGAATATTTCTGGGAATACGGTTGGAATATTTCTGGGAATACGAATGGAATATACCTGGTATACAGTTGTGATATTGCTGGAATACTGATGGAATATTCCTAGGAATTCTGAAATACGGTTGCGATGTTATTGAAATACGAATGAAATATTGCTGGAATTTGAATATTGATGATGCGTGGTTTGAGTGGCCAAGTTAAAGTGTTCGCTCGTCACGTCGAAGACCCGGGTTCGATTTCCCACATGGATACAATGTGTGAAAACCACATGTTGCTGGAATATTGCTAAAACTGTATTCAGTCATTGCTGGTGTATTACCAATGCTGCGTTGAAACCCTAACCACTCATCCTTAGAAAATAACATCGCACTAGCTCCCCATCAGGATAAATACTCATCTATTCGGGACCAGAGGTAATATACTCTCCCAAAAACGCAAAGGTTTTGCTCTGTTTTATGAGTCCTATGGTGTTTATGTTTTGAAACATGACAACAAAACGCACCATCCGTAAAATACCCGTATTTAACAGCATGATTTTCAATTTCGGCGTGTAGTGTCACAGAATACCCAGTTCACATGCAATGCATGTGAAAGTTGGGGATCAGATAGTCTCAATGATGGGTATAAAAGGTTGATCGTTGTCTGTCGATTATTCACTGTATTTGGAATATTGTTGACGAACGCAAAATGCCACGTCTAAGTGAAGCCAACCGTCATATCGCCATTGGTTTGCTTGAAGCTGGCCAGTCTCAACGCGCAGTTGCCCGACGCATGAATATTCACCTAAGCACCATTTCACGGCTCTGGGAGAGATATTGCCGGCAGAATGCGGTAGCAGATGCCCCACAGTGGGGCAGTGGGCGACCTCGAGCGACCACTGCGGCGCAGGATCGCTACATCCCGGTACATCACCTGCGTCATCGAACAGCTACGGCGACCAGTACCGCTCGACAAATACCCGGATTGAGGAGGCTTTCTGCACAGACCGTCATGAATCGGTTGAGAGAGGCTGGTTTACGTGCCAGAAGACCTTATTTTGGCCCTGTGCTTCGACAACAACATCGTCGACATCGAGTTCAATGGTGCACCAACGTTCAGGCCTGGAACCTACCGAATTGGCGTAGAATCTGATTCAGTGATGAATCACGATTTCTATTGAGAACGACGCGATGGAAGAATGCGGGTGCACAGACGTCGACGTGAACGTTTCGCCGACGCTTGCGTTCCCAAGGTAGTGGTCAGATTCGGCCGGGAAAGTGTTATGATGTGGGGAGCGATCACCCGCCATAGGAGAAGTGATTTGGTGATGATCCAGGGCAACCTGACAGCTCAACGGTACTGTGACGAAATCCTAAGCCCACACCTCCTTCCAATCATTGATCGCCAGAGGGAGTTGTTTCAACAGGACAATGCAAGGCCCCACACAGCACGTCACACTAGAGACTTCCTCCAGAACCACAACATCAATGTGCTCCCCTGGCCCTCAAGATCACCGAACTCAAACCCGATCGAACATCTGTGGGATGCCCTGGTCACAGCGCCACCACACGTCTCCATGTGACACTCAAACTGACTTTCCTCGAGTTGGTGCCAAAGACGGATAACTCTGCATTCCCAGTGTGCAATTTCGCTATATTTCATTGACTGATAAAGCCTACAAGATGTTTCAAAATAAACATAAAAATACAGTTGAATTCCTATATGCGTTTCTTCTTGGGAGAGTATATCATATTTAAGGTGACGTCATGTCCTTATTTCGACTCTGCTTTTAAACTACTAGAGTCGAAACGACCCGTGTTGGCTGTTTAAGAGCTCTGTAAACATTGATTGAAAAACGCAGAGTAAAGGTGTGCACATATACACAACTGTTCAAACATACCAGGTTGTCTCGCTCACACATGCACAGTTCGGTAGTGGTGTGTTGCTGTCGGAGTAGGCATATTCCTCTATACAATTGCTTAAAATGATCAGGTGAAATGATGCCCCATATTCCACACAAAGAATGTTACACATAGTTTTGATTTTGAGCTGCATTGTACATGCGAAAAAGGAACTGACAGAAACGTATTAAAATCATCTGAATAAAACAAACATCAACAATTTAAAAGGGCATGTAACGACATAACATTACCGTAGTCTACATAAGTTACATATAATAATAATAATAATCCATTTATCATGCGCATCGCTCCATGCACAGTGATGCTCGAAGCGCCCAAGCAATTTGATTATCATTACCCTGGACATATAGCTGGAGTATTGCTGAGTGCGACGTTAGACACCAAACAAACAAATACAAACATTTGCTGGGTCAGCCTTTGAAGGATCAAAGTGACATAAATGGATGATATGTGTTTGATCAACAATAATATGCGATCCTACCTGAAGATGCAGACGAAGCTACAGGTAAATCTTCACCAACAGGTCAGGTATGTAGACGCCTGGTTTTCTTTAGACTGTTCCCCTACTGACTGTGATGACTCACCCGAAACACCGATGCACTTATGCGAAGATATATTTCACAGCGGCAGACCACTTGGACAAAAGGAACCGACAAACGGTCGTTCATAGGAACGTGGGCTCGGCTGTCGTAGATATAGTGTGTCCTTATATAGGTGTGTTGTGGCCTACTTTACTGATGGAGGGGGTTGTAGAGGCTGATAGGCCGCTGGGAATGAATGGGTTTAATCTTGTTAAAACATGTGAAACGTTCGTGACGTGTCATGTTTTACAGCTGAAAGGAGAATGCAGCAAAAAGAATTCGGGTGATCCTGACACTGTTAGACTGCTAAGGCTCAACGTCAGCTCAGGTACACCTGTCCCCTCTACACGCAACCCAGACAGCGAATTAGTGGAGCGGCTTAACAGATAAATTGTGCATTTAATGATAAAAGCATAAAACTTTGCACATTTATTGACTGATGCATACTGAACATTTTCAGATATGGAGACCCTCAAAATAATTTCATTTCGCGCATGCGCATAGGGGTTTTGTTTGTTTTGCCTCCTGATATATGGGAGCGGTCTGTAAATAATTGACTCTGGACAAGACAATCAAGTGATCGACAGTATGAGCATCAATCTAAGCAGTTGAGATACAATGACATGTCAGCTAAGTCAGCGAGCATGACCACCCGATCCCGTTGCCTTACCCGAATCTTCATGGGTCTAAACTTTGACATCAGCCTTCCACACACCCTCGAGTTACACAAGCGAGAGGGGGGCGTGGTTGACGAGCTGTCGGAGCTGGCTAAGGCGTCAGGCTAGTGATCCAGCGAGCTTGGGGTGCCGGGATCGAGCCCACCTGTGACCGGGTGTAAAAATCCTGGAGTCGACTTTGTGTGCAGACCCTTTCACTGTTGTCACAACCCCTAGTGTACAGTACACAACCATATGCACTTAAAAGAATCCACGAATCCGTTGGTATATGACCAGATGGTGGCCACATGAATACGTGAAAACACCTAGTTGCGGGTACAGCAACGTGCAGTAAACGTGGACAAAGTACTGTGTCTATGTGTCCCAGTCCACCCAGCTGTGAATGGGTACCTCCTGAGGATGGGAAAGCCTAGTGGCTGCAAGAGTTGCATGATCCCCAGGGAGTTCAGATAATAAGATGTGCCATTTGAGATTGACATCCAATGAGCGAGGGAAAAACAAAGTGTCTTTAAACAGCTGAGTTGGATATTGGCGCTATACAAATATCAGCATACAAATAAGGAACAATATAAGGAAACGCGCTGTGTTCGCTGTAAGAGGGTGTGTATTGCTGTAGAGTGCTTGCCTGACCACCCGATTCCATGAGTCGCCTCTTACGACAAGCATGGATTCCAGAAGACCAATTCAAACTCACATCTTCACGGGCGTCTGCAGAAGGTAAATACTACTTTGCGTGTTCTCGCTACAGTTTTAGCTTTGGAAAGGCCATCAATGCATTACATGTTAACCAAAATAATATTTACCCACATATTCTGGTTAAATGTCTTGAGAGTCCAGTGTATTTAAGTGAGGACTGTTTGCACTTACATATGTTGTTACATCCCTTTCTGCAGCCACAAGAGACCACCTCCTGACAAGACGTTGAATCTGTGTTGAAGTGTCATCCATTAGGGATTATATTTACCACTTTCTTGCTGTATCCAGAGTAAAGGCTGTGGAAGAAGTGACTTACCCCATATATGTCCTGCCTGGTCAGTTGGTTTTCACATGCTGTACAGAGCTGCATGCGTTGGTGGGATGGCATGTTTTGAACGTTACTGCAAGCACTACCACATCTGCAGCTACTATTCGTAACATAATCCTTTCATGGCCATGTTTAGCAGCATGAGCAACATGAATTATGGCGTCAGTATCGGATTCTTGATGACTGCAAGGGACAAGTGAAGACATATCCATCAAATGTTTTGACAGTACCAGGTTTCAACTTTGAACAGTGACACCTCCGGCAATGATTAAAGTGGTAACAGTTGGCTCTTCTGATATTGCTGTAACGTAATATTATGCTTCTATATACGCCAACGAATCACGTTTTTGCACCAGCGCGAAAGCATCCATTTTCTGAAAGGGATGGTGTCTGCTTTTCATACTGATCAGAATCACCTAAATTTCCCCACGTGACTGAATCCATATATACACTCTGATAAGAGTTCTATATCACTCTACGTTGTTTCCAGCTCTTCTTTACCCCTTTGTACGGCCATATTAATCAACGAAAGTTAAAATAATACATAAAGAAACATACTGTTACTCGGCTTTGTTCTGTCCACAGACTTTCCTTTGTAAAGGTCTCAAACTGCTCTTTTCCTATGGGTCCCATTTTCACATAATTTTCATATATAGTGAAGCCCCGTTAGTCCGGACTCCGATAATCCGGATGTCTCACCTCCCGGATGATTTCAGCTTGTTACCAATCTATGCCTATATAATTTGCCCCGATAATCCGGAAATTCGGTTTCCGGAACCGGACGGTAAGTAGCTGTCACCAATCAGTAAAATAAACAGTAAATTGCTTCACAGTCCGGACGCTGTAAGTCGTGTTCACGAACAGTAACAACACCACCCGGCGATGTTTACTTAATTAACTGGCCAACTGGGTTGTTGTTTTAATTAGACATTAAAAGCTCCCGACTGAAGATCCTGTACATTTACACTTTGATTGACACCACAATACAAAGGCGTGGATGTTTTGTGATTGGTTAATGTAGTGATTTTGCTTTACGACAATGCTGCAAGTCACAAGTGTGCTTCGCTAACTTTGCGAAATGTGACCAAATACCACGTCTCATATACAACCGATGGATGCAGGAATAATTAAGACATTCAAGGCATACTACAATAGATCGCTTGTTAGACATTACCTCACCTGTGCTGAGGAAGGACGTGATTAGACACGTCGGATCAACATGCAGATGTCACTCGGTAAAATTATTGATGTGATGAATTAAGCTTTACATTAAATGCTTATTTGTTTTATCCAGATTCGTGTCGTTTTTGTAATAGTTAGGGAAGCAACTTGGGTCTTGATTCAGTAGTCCGGACTATTCGCAATCCGGACGAATTTACTGAGAAACGCAACCGTCCGGATTAAATTACAAATTGCAGTTTGTGCGCTACAATTTCCTGAAATGAGAACACGACAGTACTTTTTGACAAGACAAGACACAGACGTTCAGAAAATACATGATGGCAAGCTATTGGCTTAAATGATGCAGGGATGTTCTGTCGCAACATTGTACGCTAACCACATGGCTATAAGTCACCTTAAGGGGAATCTTGTGGCCACCGGTGAAGTACAATGTCGTCCAAGTCCTGGCAGACTGGGGAACACCAATGATCTTGATGATCGCGTCCAAATTCGTCTTGCATGACATCACTAAGACAAACCAGGCCGAAGAACTGCAATGGGGAGTGGGGGTCTCTTAGACTCTCCATCAGAAGGAGTCTGCGACGTCAAAGGGTGCGTCGTCCGATCAGACGTCCCTTCGTCACAGATAGGACCAGGCAGAAACGCCTGGGGTGGTGCAAATGGTCTCTTGAAAGTCGCTTTCTATAACATGTTACCCACGGCCGTTGTCAGGCATAGAGACGTCGTATCATCAGGAGATGATCTATGCAGCTGAGCCCAACACTGTTTCGTATGGCTGCAAGTTGCATCTCATTACAGTACCTGGGAAACACAAAGGTCAACGTTTTCAACAGGAAGTACTAGATGCCGCCATAGGGCCACATTTTTTTTAACTTTGCCAATCGTCAGATATTCAATAATGACAACGCTAGGCCGTCTCGTGCCGTCATCACCCATTTTAGGGAACAATTCCATCGAAGCATTACCATGGCCCGTAAGGAGCCCCAATAGATACCTCATTGAACATCTTTCGGACTATGTTAGATGCTGGGCCTTATCCTGTTCAAAGTGAAGAATTGAGGCATACACTGTATCGGGTATAATACGATGCTTGATTGGCTGAATAAAGAGGAGACTGCACAGATGTTATAAGTCCGAAGGATGGTTACACAAGGAACTGGTGTGGTCACCTTTGGTGGTTCATACAATCAGAACAACCATTGTTTATAAACTGTGCGACAATCAGATTTGTGGGGTAGTCATGGTGACCATAGTTTCCATCATTGTTGATGTTCACGTTTTTGTGTATTCCTCTCAGATTGCAGTAATGTGTAACTATGTCTCAATTTCAGTTTTGTTTGTTTTGGGTTTTTTGAAATCAGAGTAATATGTGTTGCAGTTACCATTTTAATCCGTGTAATTTTGGTTTTCAATGCATATGCTCCAACGTGTGTCTTCGTACTCATCTTTAAAAAGCGGGTTATTGCATGATTTATGCTCGTGGATAGATTTCATTATGGCCTTGAGCATGAAGTCAAAATTCAATGTGGTAACTTGTCAATTTTAGTATAACTGCCACGGGGCCTGTAAGCGAAGACGATTAATGTGTCACCATGAGTTTTTAATTTCTAACAGAACATTTTATGAACATAAACTTAGTGCATCATCATCAACCATCCTGGAAACCCAAACAACTTAGTTATTCTGAAATCCCGGTTTAGTCGATGTACTCCCCTTTGTCGTCCAAAATGTTATCCGCAAACATGCTGAACATCACGCACCACCTGTATTAGTTTGGATTTCCAAGAGCATAAATGAGCATCGGTGTAAATTTTACATACTTTTGTAGTCCAATGATTGGTAAAGAAAAGAAACAAGAACCAATCCAGCAAAACAGTGAAGTTTTAATTCAGCTGACCATGAAAGAAAGATGGAGTCAAATTGGAAAGTCAGTAACGTGTATGACCACCGTTAGCAGCAACACAAGCTGTGCAACGTCTCCTCATTGAACTGATAAGTCTCTGAATAATGTTTTGAGGCAATGCATTCCACTCTTGTTGCAAGGCATTCTCAAGTTCTCCAAGGTTGTTGATCTGTGGGCGACGTGAGAGGCGTTGGCCGATGTAATCCCACAAGTGTTCAATGGGAGACAAATCTGGTGACAATGCAAGCCATGGAAGTAGTGAAATGTTGTTGTTTGCCAGAAACTGTTTTGCAACACGTGAAAT